TTTTTTTGGGGGGGGGGGTCCTTTTTATACTTATAGTAAAAAATACCCCAAACCCTGTTCTAATGATTAAGGCCGCTATATTCCCTGCAAGCTGCTTCAACCCCCCAGTGCTTGCTGGGGCTTCAAGCTTACACCCACAAGGACGGCACTGCTGGGCTTTCTGGGACTCGGAACTGCTGTTGTAGGATGTTGTAGTGAGGACTTTGGTTTAGGGTTTGGGGTTTGGGGTTTGGGGTTTGGGGTTTGGGGTTTGGGGTTTGGGGTTTAGGGTTTAGGGTTTGGGGCTTGTGGTTTAGGGTTTAGGGTTTAATGAGAAGCCGTGAGAACATCAGTCGGAAAGTAAGCGCAGGAATGCAGATGGGGCCTGGTAAAGCCCAAGTCATGTCATGTGTCCCATCGTCAAGCATGGCTCCTGCCCCAACGTGCCAGATCTCCCAGAACTTCTTGCGCAGCTCCGACATGTCCCTGTGATCCTTTCACAGAAAAAGAACGGGCAAATGAGATTTAAACCCTGAACCCTAGACCCTAAACCCTAAATCCGGTGCTAGAGAAGCTAGCAGTTCCTGGGAATGTGTGAGGAAGTCCTCAGAAGGAGCCCCCGAACATGCAGGCTTATGTCAGCTCGCAATGCCTCGACGGTACTCTCTCTCTCTCTCTGTCTGTCCGTCTCTCTCTCTCTCTAAACCTATATATATATATATATATATGTGTATATATATATATACGTGCATACACATACATTTATTCTTTTCCTACTTGTGCATATACACATATCCATATATGTATATGTATGTATATGTGTGTATGTATTTATATTTGGATGTGTATACATATACATATATATATATATACATATGTACATACATACATACATACATACATACATACATACATACATACACATGTGCATGCAATGTAACTCCTTTCTAGGCTTTACATGTTGACCTATGATGGCGATGTTCCACAAAGCAACGAAGATGCGAAACAGCACATAAGTGTAGACGGGATCGAGGGGGCCTACGTAGTCATGGATTTAATGGAGGCAATGATGAACAGAGAACCCTAAACCCTAAACCCTAGACCGAGAGAACCAGCAATAAACCCTAAACCCTATAGTGTTGCATCTCAGTGCTTCGCCTTGGCCCGTGGTTTCGTGAGGGTTCAGGGTTTAGGGCCATGCAACATACTTCTTGCAAAGATGGTGCCTGCTAAAGAAACCTCGTGAATGACTAGAAAGTTAGAATCCGGCTACGCCCTTAGCCCTAAACCCTCAACCCTAAACCGCTTCGGTGTATTATTGTTCCCTGTCGCTGTCTTCGATCTACATCAGCGTAGGGGTGCCCTGCTCGGGTCAAGCTTCCGGAGTTATAGATTATATAAAATGTATTACACCTTACTATACATGAATATTATAAAGGAATGCTATGTGATATAATATAACATGATATAACATAATATAATATGATATATCATAACATAATACAATACAATATAACGAAATACAAAAAAGTAAACTATCAATATAATAAAAATTTTTAAAGAAACATGATATCATGTTAGATATTTCCATTTTACATATGAGAACTTACGTGACCCATTTTTATAGGTCATATTTTGAGCATGTTATATTCTATATTAGATATCACATATGATGTATCATATGATATACCGGACCACTTTCGATTACCCCAACGCTCAACATAGCTCAAAAGCCTTCCATAGTAGGGTCTTTGGGCCCAAAGGCCTTAGAATATACGCTCTAAGAGTGTTAGGGTTCAGGTGGCAGTCACGACAGTCCATAAAGCCTCTAATTACTGTAGGGGCCCTAATGGTTAGAATAAGGTTTTGGGTTAGACTGTACAATAACTATAATAAGGGACACCCCCCCCTCCACAAAAAAAACAAAAAAAACATAGTAGAGGTAATTATTAGGCGCCTATACCCTAAACCCCTAAACCCTACACCCGGTA